CATTTTAGAAAGCAGTGGATTGAAGACATTGAATAATCAGCACACACTCTGCGTTGAAGCGAAACCTGAGAGGGCGAAGGTAAGCTGGACAGTGTTTATGAACGGGATGGCTATGATGTTCACATTTTTGAAGAAACTGCTCGACATATTTTTACACGGTGATGACCTACGCCGCTTCAATCGTTGATTCTTATTATAATAAATCTTATACAGATGATGTTAAAATTATGATGAAGTACGTTTTGACAAACTCGTTCTAAGTCGAATATGAAAATGGTATGATAAACAAATAAATAAATAAATAACTATTGTCACTTAATAAGTAAATAGGCGAATAATTACCCTGACTAAATACCAGCAATTGAAAAGTTATCATTAATTGCTGGAAGATGATGCTGGGGAAGAGACTATGGTGACAGGGTCATCAATTTCATTCGATGATTCGCATTCGCGAGCATAGCTTGTAGGCGGCGTTTGGTCGTCGACACTTGTTGAAGAATCAGGAACACATAAAGTTACGACTGAACAGTTAGTTTTTTCTTATAATCACAAATTTCTTTATAGCAAGCATAATTAAGATCATATCATCACCGTATGATACGTTGCTAAACACTGTGTGAGATGTTCAGTTCGCGATCGTTACAGGGGGCGCATCGCTATCCCACCATCGCAAAGCAAGGAGCTGTAATTCATGTCATTCTGTAATTCTATGTTTCCCGTTATCCAAATTCTCGTCGCTGCGGATGTTCCATGAATGAAAATCGACCCTCCTACAGTACTCCCTGCTCTGTGTCTTCTGCTACCATTGCTGGCAGAGTAATTCGACCGTCAGATCGCCATAGCGTGCGCTTGGACGAATCACTGATCGTTTGCAGTTCAGCGAAACACGGTTTCCAATTCTTGAAGTTCTTCGGCGGTTGCCTCTCAGGCGAGTCATTTGATTGGTCCATCTTCTCTTTGCTTCAGGTCAGACCGTCAGACGTTTGGAAGGTGATCCTTGAAGGAAGCCTCGCCCACTCTTCGCTCCATTGTTCTTTAGAAGACCATTACCATTAATTTGTTCTGCTCGTTGTTGGCAGTGGACCAACATTCAACGTCGTGCACCATGGCTTGAATCGAATAGTTGTTTCTTCGCTAGTATTGGTAACTCACAGTCGAGGAGCGAGGATTCATGCGGTAAAGCTGGTCCATGCCGCCTTCCTTCTTCTGCTGATTTCCCCATCACCCGGCAGTCGAAGCACACAGCTGGTGATTGCTTCGAGTTCTTTGCCATTCTCGTAGACAAAGACCAGTAGCTGAGTTCGTTTCGCATGCCTCGTAAATTCTCATTTTAAGTGTGATTTTTTCCGTTTTCCTTAATCCCCTGCAATGACTCCGTTTTGTACAAGTCTGTCTTTCGAACTCCGTTTAGCCCCTGAAACAGCAACAGCAGCTTTTTCGAGGTTGGCAGATTACAGAAAGAAAATCACCATGCCTTGGATGGCAACTAGTGGAGACAAACCGGTTTAAAGCGCCTTTTGTCATTTGATCCTTGGTAGGACCTCATCAAGAGAAGATGATGGTGCCTGAATGGAGGCTCTGCACGGTTCTTCGCAACAGACTGAGATATCGGTTGAAGAGGACCTCTGCTAGCTTCGAAAAAACAATTCTATTATAATTCACCCTCTGTGAACATCGTCTGCAATACCTTTCGATTCTTGATGCGTAACAGTGCAAATAAACATTTTTGGTATATTATTAGCAATGGTGACGATAAGAGTATCGGAGGGGGGAGGGACAGGACTGTTTTACACTAGGATCATTGGACGACCTGTCAAGAAAACGTTCAATTCACTTCCGAAACGTGTGACACAGAAAGCATATAGAAAGCTGCTTTGTAGAAAGCCTTAAGCAACTGCTGGAATCGAAAATAGCACATAATCATTCCGTGGAAAAATGTACCTGGAAGTACAGGATGTAGATCGACTGACCAAACAGACTGGCTTCAAGCTTTCGAACAGCACTCGCTTATATAGCATTTGTTGTTGATTTTGGATGAATCTAACAGCTGTTGATTAGATTATCTAAGAGCTCAAATGAAACGGCTCTATGGACAGCTGAATAGCCGAATTTTTTGACACTTTCAACAGTTGACACGCTCTCTGCGTTTGTCAAAGCAATTTTGGTGAATGGCACGTGCCCAGCCACCGTATGACCCAAAAACTGACTTCTACGAAGCCATCCATTTTCCTGCAATATCCCATGAGTTTAATGATTGCAGTTGACCACATGGGCACAGACTTTCCAACCGTGCATAGTAACTTGCTTAACTGTTGTGAGGGAAAGGAATCTGAACCTGCGCATGCCTTTTACGTTCTGTTAAAATTGTTCGAGTTTAAATAATTATAACGTTGTTGCTTTTCAACACTGAGTCGTCAGAAAGCACGAAATGACCTAGCAGCACACCAGCTCAATTTTGGTCAAAAGGAACTATAGATTTAGAACGATCAATGAAGCATTTTTCGTCCAGACCAACAGATGTTCGAATATGAACAATGGCATGGACCTGAGCAATATCTGTACATCATCTGTTAATAATAAATGCCGCCAACATTAATAATTCTTGTTGGGCTTCTTATAGTCCCAAATTTTATCTGGACAACTTGACTTTTGTCATGTACGAGTGAATCATTAAGATTTTAGAAAAATAATCGTTGAGAAAATCTTAAATTGTTTTCTTTCACAGACATTGCATTTGTACTGCTACAAATAAATTTTTGTTTATCTTCGATGCCTTCTTTTTCTCCAACTTCAACGAGTTTAAGCGAAAGTTCGTCGAGAAACGTTGTTAATAAACCAGCGTTTATTGTTTGCTCGAACGAAGGCTAATTACAAGTATCTTTTTCATATATTTGGCACTAAACCGGTGTGAACATCTAAAAACAATTTTCATCTCCTTACCACCGCTGTATTCTTGAAAAACAGGATGCAAAAAATGAAAATATAAACTTAAAATTAATGATGAATATTATTTTTATGCTCGTCCTCTTATGGTTCTTCTCCCCTTTAGAATTTATCAAGTTCTTTGAACTATGGATAATCGTCTGTCATTAAAAAGTCATGATATCTCCGCATTTCTTGTCATCGTTCGCCATTGCTTCTCGTATTTTGTACTGTTGGTTGTGATCTCAAGCCAAAGCCTGTGCCAGATTTTACTGTCGATACATGAGTTTTATTCAGTCATCGTCTGTTCCTATTTGATATCACCCACCGACGGTATTGCTTCCGTTACACTGAACGCTACCCTGATCGTTGAACGGCATCAGAAACGAGGTCATAAGTAAAGAATTAGTGAGACACAGTCTGCGTTGACGTTGAGGGCTCTCTACACTGTGGT